CTTCTATTAATAAAAATAATACAATATTCGTTTAACAATATCTATAAATAAGAATTTTTTATATAATATATTTTACTAGCTTTCCGCCCGCAGCTTTGTCCGCGTGGAGTTCGGTTATATCGCGTTTCCAAGAGAACCTTTCAAAAGTCTGTTATAAAAACTATCCTATTTTCTTTCTCATGGTCAACTCTATGCCTGTACCAAATTTCATTAAAATCAGTTTAGCGGTTTAGGCGGGAAAGCGTAACAGACAGACAGACAGTCAGAGTTACTTTCGCATTTATAATATTAGTAGGGATTGATCGATCCTGGGTCTTATTATAAAAGAGGTCAGATATATAATCCTTTTATATAAATAGTTATGTATTATTTGATAAGCTAAGTGGTTCTAAGTTTGATAATGATTATCCATCATCATCATATGAGAAATAATATTTGTGCCTCTCCATACAGACCAGATCTATTTTTGTTTTAGCGAATTTTAAGGCGCGTTGTGATGAATGAGCATATGGTTCCTTGAACACCAACATCCCCAAAGACCATGCCATCAAGGTCAATAAGTATTACGAGCTCACTAACGAACTAACTCGAAATAGGTTCGTCGTTGATTTGTATGCGAGAAGTGTAACAGCTAAATATCTCTCGTGTCAAACTTGATTAGGTAGAGAGAGGAGCTTGTACGGTGTAGGTGATCGTTTAACGTTAGATAGTGTCCCTTAAACCTACACCTGGGTCACAAGTCACAGTCACTGTTGAAGCTCCTCTCACTACAACGATGGACCCGACACACGCACACTGAATACATGGAATGATGAGAGGTTTCTTGGTCTTTCTTTAAAAGGAAATATCTGTCCATATTAAGGAAATCAGGATTCTGAACATGAAACAATTTTAGAGAAATCTAGGAGAACCATAGAAACAACAGTAAATTTGGTGACATATCCTCGTTTTTACGAGCATATTTTCTAATTCTGTTTTATTATAATGAAAATTCGACTATATTAGTCAATATGTATTAAATTTATATACTAAGTAATTAACAAAACAAATCCAGTAAAGATCAAAGAAAATATGGAAACAGCTGAAATAGAAGGCGAAATTATCTCCATTGTGTATTTAATAATTTAACATTTATTTATTTTTATATTTTTAATTTACTAAAACAAAGCAATGTTATCTAAGACTTTCGTGAGTACACAAAAATGTTACTAAAGTTTTTCTTATACATTTCTTTTATTATTATTATATTTATATGTTCTCGAGGATTCTTTACTTTGTGGTATGTAGTTAATTGATTTTTTGTTTCATAATTGTTAGAAATCTGTTATATTCTCGTGGCAATTACTGTGTTTAATTCTTATTTATAATTTTGTCTAGTTAAAGATTTGAACTTCGCTGTTGCATTGTGTTCTGTTACATTAAAAATAAAGAAATTATTATAAATTACAATTCTGTGTCTGGTTATTATAATTATATATGAAAGAAAAAACGATTTAAAAATCTAATTAGTGAATATTGTAGAATGTTTTCCTTCATCAGTCAGTGATTTCTAAATACTCTTATAAAGTACATATGACTCGGAACATCACATTGGTACTTGCCCGGTTTCGATCTAACTGCTATCATAATAAAGTAAATATTTGTGATTTCTAAATATCGTGTTAATATTGCTAGTAATATTATTTATTCACAATTTTTGATGGCGTAATTAGTATGAAGCTGAGGAATGTGGAAAGTGTTGGATAGTTTGTAGTTAGTATTGTTGTGTTGTTAGCACCTCGAAGTTTCGGCTAACCATGTTTTTGCATAAACTAGTTTGTAATAAAAACAAGAATTCTAAACTAATATTAATTAATAACAAAAACCTTTCATTCTTAACAATACTAACGGTATTGAAAAGAAAAATAATTAGGAACTAGAGTGATTTCATTCAAATTTTTTGTTTATATTGAATTACTTTTAAATATTGACTTAAACAAAAAATATATGAATATACATGTCATATACGAATAATATAAAAAATTGTGGAAGAATTTTTTTTACTTTCAGTTGTCAATTTGAAAACTGACGCGATCCAATCAGAAATGTTATCAGGATTCGTACCTGAATTCAAATAAATATTTGTAAACATCGCATGTCCATATTTGAAGTCGGTTAAAAATAAAGTTGTGTATTCGTTATTCGATTGCCAATTACATAGCTTAGCTTTCAAGTGCGTTCATGTTTAGCTCGTATCAAATATCAAATTGGGATTACGAGCTATGAAATCTATCATATGTTTCATAACGTAAGTCATAAATGTATTGTTTAAATGAAACTAATATTATTCGTATTACGATGTGTATTTTATTATTTTAAACTACACACTACCTATGTTTCAGTTACTTTACAACCGTGATCATTAAGATGAGATGTATTTTTTACAAAAATAAAGCAGGCATAGTAATCGGAATAATCTCAGTTTCATTTAAATATTAAGTATCATTATGTATTATTGTTATTTGATGAATATGTATTTTAAATGTTGATTTACTTTGAACTTATACATATATCTAAATGTTTAGTTTGACATCTCTGCGTGTGATCACGGTTGCTGAAAAGAAACCAAAACGTCGGCAGTATGTAGTTTAAAATAATAAAATACACGTAGTAATACGAATAATATTAGTTTCATTTAAATGAATATAATTCAGTTAATTTAAAGTTTACAAATGCTCGGTAAAGGCCATTACTTTTACTTTTACCAATTAGGCTAACTCTTATAGAAATTATGAATCAAATACTGATGATAAGCAGGAATATACGTAAATTTAAATGGAAAAAACAAACATAAAAGCCATTATAAGGAGTTGAAATATTCATTATTGAGTTCCAAATTGTACTTGCAAGGAAATAGAGACCAGGAAAATAGTGCCAATTATTTGCCGTATGCTTGAGAGTTGAAAAGCGTATCACTTAGTCCGTATTCGAAGAATAACTATTAGGAATTGATGGAGATTCACCATAGTGTAGCTGTCCGTTGGTAAAAGAGGATGAAGGGAATATACATCATCATCATCATCAGCCTATCAGAACTCATTACTGAGCAAAGGCCTCTTCTCACATGGAGAAGGTTTGAGCATTAATCACCACGCTCGCTCAAGACGGGTTGGTGATTTCAAACTTATAATTTGAATATAAGTCCATGTTTCCTCACGATGTTTTCCTTCATCAGTCAGTGATGTCTAAATACTCTTATAAAGTATATATGACTCGGAACAATCATATTGGTATTATAACATGTATTTTTTATTTTTCAATTATGAAAGAACATTAAGACATGATTGTAAACGTATTGACTACGTTCATATTTATATGTTAAATGTATATACTAATAAGAAACCTTTTTTTTTGTTAAAAAATACAAAATAACCAAATGGATCGCCATTGAATCGAAATAGTAGCTTTTAAGAACGAAAGTGTTAAAGGGTCTTTCAGAATTTAAATTCATAAGGTATCAAAACCGTATAGTTTTGTGGAAAAAAATGTTTTTTAGACACGATTTTGTTATTTTACATATCTTTTAGTTTTTGTGAGCTCGTATACACAAAACTATGGTGTATATTTTATATATAGTGTATGTTATAAAATTATGGTGTATATAGTGTTGTTTTTATTAATTAGTGTTTTTTTTTGTAGATGTAATTTAATTTAATTAGATTTAGGTGTTGTTGTTAAAAACTTTTTAGATGCTGTGAACACCTGTAATAGGTGTACATATAAAGACCTTTACTTTTGGCTATATTTTTTGTGTAAATGTTGCATATGTGTACTGTTGGTGTTCCTAAGTAAATAAATAAATAAATAATATAATTCAGACTGAATAAAAAGAGGAAACATTTTCGTTAATAAAACTGTTCACGTAATTCTTAATTAACTTTCCTCTCTGAGTAACAGGCTTGACTTTTTAATAGCTCTGTAGTCATCAAGAATTTTTTCTGAATTTAACATAATACCTCTTTATTATGGAATGCAAGGGAAGAAATTTTCACCCTTTCAAGACGACGATTTCTTTTGTTCGAAGAATGGATTTTCTAGAAACCTTATTTTCATCGAGCTAAATGAGTTTTGTTTTTGCAAAATGATGACTAACTTTTCATCAAAATTCATATTTCATTTTATTTTAAATATAATACAGTTTTCATGCTTAATTGCTGTTGATTTTCTATTTATTCAATATTTTTTTAGTCACTTTAACAAAGTACTGAGAATGAATTTGTTACTAATTATGAGAAGTTCTCCAGGTATATCGAAATCATGATTAAGTATACACATATTTATACGATTTTATTGGTAACGAAGAAAAGTCATCTAGCAAAAAACTTGATATAATTGGAGAGAAGCATCTTCTAAGAGGCCTTAGCAATTTAAATCATTCCCCTTCAAGTTAATGAATTTAAAGTGTGTAAGAATGTCACTTTAGTTTCGGGTGCTCCCGGCCCCCAAGCACGTTGAACTTCAAACAATTCAAATTAAACTCTCATAGAAGTTCAAAAATTCTTAGCATCTCTGTTAAAATTCTACGCTAAATCAGAAATAACTAAGTTTTATAAATTCAATTCAAATGATCTCGTTCTGCTTATTTCATTTATAAATAAAACGTTATTTAAATTACATCAATAAGTATCTGCCGAAAATATTTCGAATATTTTTGTTCTATAACTTTTTAAGCAAAAATTTTTCGTATATTTTTTTCGGACCAATATTAACTTATTACTTAAAGATCCTTGGGGGAGGCCTATGTCCTGCAGTGGACGTCTTTTGGCTGATGATGATGATGATGATGATGATATCAATATATAAATAAAATAACTTAAAATAAAAAACTACATATATACCAAATTGATGACCATTTAATTAGAAAAAAAAATTCAGCCAAAATAATAAAAAAAATATGAACATTTTGAGGCCATTTATTTTTGATGTTAAAATTTTGAATCCAAAAAATTTATCGAAGCATCCTAGTGGAGGTCGTTATTTAGTAGCAGCATGGATCCGGGCAGGGGCAGGGGCAGGGATCCGGGCAGGGACAGGGATCCGGACACGGGCAGGGGGATGGACAAGGCGGGGGGCAAGGACATGGGCAGGGGCAAGGACACGCTGGAGTATACACGGTGCTCTGGCATATACAGGGTGGACACGGCCGTCCGACGCAGATGGTCGGCGGATTGATGATAGGCTGGCAGGATTCTCCGATACAGATCGTGCTGCCGTCCTGGGTCTTACAGCAGCGCCATGGTGCCGCAGCTACTGTGCTGATTAGAGCTATTGTAACAGAAATTGTTTGTTTAAATTTTTGTGTCGATAAAAAATTATATGGTTTATATCAGTGGTGGCCTAGTGGTTAATGGCCCGCCTCTTGTTGCCGAGGACGGGGGTTCGATCCTGGCCCGGGCAAGTACCAATATGATTTTTCCGAGTCATATGTACTTTCTAAGAGTATTTAGATTTCACTGATCAATGCTGATTCCCAAAAGAAGGTTGATGTCAGGCAGGCGGCCGGTCGTCAAAACAAATAGCCAAAACTATTCACAACATGTAAGGCAGACCCTGGCTATGGCTGGGAAATTGACAGGTAGAAGAAGAATTAAAATTATATTGTTTGTTCGTTTTACTATTTTAGACACTATTGCTATTTGAATTTTTTTAATATATTTTTATCTTAGGAAGTTATAAAGATTAACCCTTTTCATATCCGTAGTATATAGTACGAGCAAAATATAAAAACCATAGTGATATTATGTTACTATTTTTTCAATTAACAAGTCTAAATAAATTAGAGGCTCTAAATCTGTAACTAACGGAGTTTTAAACTTATATAATATACATATATGAAGACAGGTGATTAAAAAAGGAATATTAAACGCTGTATAGTAACCAGTACAAAAATTATTTTTCTCTGTCGATTGTTAATTGTTTTTGAAGTGTAACTTCCTATGCAACTCCTACACGGTTGCGTTAAACGTTTAACGCTGACGGCGGGGGAGAGGGTGATATAGAGAGACAGAGCGTCGATCAATAGTGACTTGTAAGTACTGTTAATAAATTTTATCTTAAAAAAAACAATAAAATTCCCTATACGTAATTTCAAGCTCTTTCTGTACTCATTCCATCATTACTTCTTCAGCGCGGACGAAATAAACTCACAATTAATTTATCCTTTCTACATTCTGCATCTAGTGTCTGAGTATATTGGAGCATTTTATTAATATTCGACCAAAGATCGACTATCAATACATATTGATAGTTCTCTCTATGAAAAAAATCGTTTGATGGATGATACTTACTGATGAAAAGCCTCCTTAAAATTAGATATCATCCCTACTAATATTATAAATGTGAAAGTAAATCTGTCCTCTGTCTATTACGCTTTCACGCCTAAACCACTGAACTGATTTTAATGAAAGTTCGTACAGAGATAGAGTTGACCTTGAGAAAGAACATAGGATAGTTTTTATCCCAGACTTTTGAAAGGTTCTCTTGGAAAAGCGACATAACCGATCTCCACGCGGGCGAAGCTGCGGGCGGAAAGCTAGTCAGTTTATAAAGATATAGTACGCGTTGACTTCACATAACATTTTCTCTTGATATTGAAACGTATTTTCACTTCATACATTCATATAACTTAAGCAATACTTTAAAACACAGGCCTAGTCTAGTGTAAGCCAAAGTTTATTGTAAATTGCATTTGAAAGTGTTTTATAAATATATAAACAAATTAAGTCAAGAAAGATGAATTAAATATTTCATGTTTCTACTATATATTACCAGTTGGTGTATTATATCGAAAATAAAAATATATTTTTAGTTAGAGATATAAGATTGTCGCGAGTATTCATTTAAATGAAACTAATATTTTTCCGACGTACTACGTGATTTTTATTTTTATCCAACTACATACTCGCGTCGTTTCGGTTACTTTACAGCAACAGCAGCTTTTTTTAGTTGTTTTGCATTATTTTTAAGAATACACGGAATGCTTTACAAGTGGTTACTTTGAATATTAATCTAAAGTTAGTTATTGGAGCTCGGACATTTGAACAATTAGCAACAAAGTTTAGGAGCCAAGTTGTGGACAACCGCGCTGGGATATATAATTAATAAGACGACTCACTGACTGTGGATTGGAGAAATGATAAGTAAACAAGATGAATTTAAATGAATGGTTAAAGTCTTGGTTATTATTTGACTGGTTTTTGTAACTCATTTACTCAAATAGACAACTGAATATGAGGAAAACGACTGCTTTGTTTATGTTATTTTACTTAAAATATGAAATAAAATTGTGAATCACTATTCCCTGATATGTTATTAGAGTCAAATATTTAGTATTGTAAATTATTTTTAAATATTACCAACACTTATTAAAGACATTTTTTTTATGTGTAAGCGTATTGACAAAGTCATTTCAAAGATTATTTTAGTATTGTTCAATATACCTAACTTCGAAATCATTGAAAAGATTTCTTTTTGTAATATACTAAGTATAAGAACAAATTAATATTAAATTTTGCATCATTTAGAAGGTCTATACTCAGTAGGGGGCAGAAAAAGGATGATGATGATAACATTTGTATTATGGAATTTCGATATATTTTTTTGGTTTTCCAACTACACTATTCAGATAAATGGGATTCATGTCATAACGAAATTATTTATTACCTATCTAATATTTGAAGAAACATCAAAAAAACAGTAGGTGAAATAACCCAATAAGATGAAAATTATGGAAAAAATTACGAAAACATAAATGGAGATTCTCAAATAGAGTATTTATTGTACGAAATGTTTAATAAATACACAAAGTATGGTAAAAATAAAAATATTTGAGTTCACGTATTAATATGCCGACATCGGAAACATAAGTCATAACAAGACTATCAAATAGTATTATATAGTGTATAATATTTTGGGAAAAACAATAAGTATCAGAATCTCATCTAAATAAATATAATATACAAAAACAATGAAAAACTCCTGTTAAAGAGTAGGATGTAAGAAAATTTTCTGTATATATACGACAATAAAAGCTATTTTAATATTTGAGTTAGTTCAAATCAGCATCACTCAAATCTAATAGTCAAACTTACTAATTTAATACTCAGTTGATACACTACTTACTCAATAACTATACGTTGGTAAGAAAACGTTAAAACAGATAGTTTTTAGTTTATTATAACATATACTAAGGTCCGGGTCGCACGAAGTCAAGTTGGATTGACAAATAGCTTGATATAATTGATATTTTAAGTAATCTTGGTAATAATTCATTATTATAATATATTCTTCTTCTTCCTGTCAATTTACCAGCTTTAGCCAGGGTCTGCCTTACATGTTGTGAATAGTTTTGTCTTAATGTTTTTACGACCGGCCGCCTGCCTGACATCAACTCTCTTTGGGAATGCATTAATCAGTGATGTCTAAATACTCTTATAAAGTACATATGATTCGGAAAAATCACATTGGTACTTGCCAGGATCGAACTCGCGCCCTCGTGCATGAGAGGCGGGCCTTTTAACCACTAGGTCACCACTGACTTCATTATCATAATATACTGTGATAATAAAATTTTATATCACTACCCAGAATATAAACAGTTGTCAAGAAAATTAAGTATATATTTCTACTTAAATAAATAATTGTATTTATAAGACAGATGTTTTCAGTATACGAAAATAATTTAGTAAGAAATATAACTAGATCTCTTTTTAATAAGAAGAAATATTGTTTTGATTCTCAATATTTTTTGATAAGTCAAAGTAAGGTTAAAAATATGATAAAAAAACCATATTGATGTCAACTTTACAACACTTTGATGATTGTAATTAATTGTCAGGGCACACGAATAATTAAAATAGATTTGTAACTTGCAAGCATCTCTTCTACTCGTCTATTTTTAAATAATTCATTAAACTGTACTTAGTTTCACTGGTTATAGTATATTTTTTGTAATAAGAGGAAATAGTTACAAATAATAAGAGGAAATGATACCAGAAAATTCGTTTTCCACGATATAAATATCAATTAATGAATTTATAATTTTATTACATTATTTTTATTTTTGAAAATGTAACTCTTTATATCTTTTTGACATTTTCAACATAACAATTGATGTAAGAGAATTAATAATAATTAAAATTTAAAAGGGGTACATCATGATGCGAGTTATACTCTAAACTATAGTCCTAGGAATGTCGCAGAAAAAACAAACGTAATTTGGTACGGAAGGACAATCACAACAATACCTTAATATTAAAATATAATTATAGGTGTAAGGTATCATCATCATCCTATCAGAGCCCACTGCTGAGTCTCTTCTCACATGGAGAAGGTTTGAGCATTAATTACCACGCTCGATCAAGACGGGTTGGTGATTTCAAACTTATAATTTGATTAAGTCCATGTTTCCTCACGATGTTTTCCTTCATCAGTCAGTGATGTCTAAATACTATTATAAAGTACATATGACTCGGAACATCACATTGGTACTTGACAGGTTTCGAACCGCGCCCTCATGCACGAGGCGGGCCTTTAACCTCTAGGACACCACGTCTTATTTATAAAGGTATTAATTATTTCTTAAAGTATAACTTACCCAAAAATAAATATGCTATAACTGCCATCTTCACCGTCTGCCAACTTCACTGACAGAAATCAATTCAATGTCTTTTTTATACTAAGTCCTTATTATTTAAAGCTTCATTGACGCGTATGAAAATACATGAAATGACTATTATAACATAAAATAGTAGTTATCCCGTGGTTTTTCTTTCTTAATATATATATATAAAAGAAAGTCGTGTTAGTTACACTATATATAACTCTAACGACTGTACGGATATGAATGAACATTGGTGGAGAGATAGATTAGATTAAGGAGACGAACATAATGATCATACGATTGAAAATAATAAAATATAAATTGATCAAATCTAAAACCTTCTTATCAACTCCCTTTAAGGAGGAATAAAGTTCGCCCTGTCAATATATTTCCAATTTTGAAACTAAGGCAGACGCAGTCGCGGGCAAAAACTAGTAGTTTTGTTATAAGACCAGACGATTCAGTCACTATCATAGAAAGGATAAGAGTGTCAGTAATTCTATTGCAAGTACATATTAATTATTATATGCATATATATTATATTTAATTCAGTGGTGGCCTAGTGGTTAAAAAGCCCGCCTCTCATGTATGAGGGCGCGGGATCGATCCTGGCCCTGGCAAGTAGCAAGGTGATTTTTCCGAGTCATATGTACTTTCTAAGAGTATTTAGATATCACTGATTAATGCATTCCCAAAGAGGGTTGATGTCAGGCAGGCGGCCGATCGTGAAAACAGTTAGCCAAAATCAAAAAAACAATATGTAAGGCAGACCCTGGCTAAAGCTGGGAAGAAGAAGATTATACATATAAAAATATCTATACGAATTTAAAAACAAATAATATATATACAATACTATTCGTTTTTTTATATTTAAGTGTTGTGAAGTAGTCAACTTTACCGATTCATTAACTGACGACCAATTATTTCATAAAACACAATACATTTGTCATGTAATTAATATTATACCATTGTATCAAAAGAATATTAATTAGATAATCTACAATATATTTACTAAAAGAGAAGTTTCAAATGTAAAAGTTAAAAATAAATTTGAATTTGATTTTCAATCTTTGACCTTAAAACTTTTTGACTTTTCGTCACGCCTAATCCACTTTTAAAGTGAGTAAAATAAATACTTTAAAAAATAATAACAACTGAAGGAAAAAATGTCATACAAGTATATAATTTTAATAATATTATGGCAAAAATATAATAGTTTTGGTCGCAGTATTTGAAGCGTTTATAAACTGAACAAGTTTTTGTATGCAGTTATATCTGATGGAGCTATTTAAGTATAAAAATGATTTTTTTACTAGACGAGCTCACAGAACGTAGGATGGGGCGATACATAGCATTGGGTTTTATCGGTGAGATTTGTATCATTATTATCATTATCATATCATTATCTATGATATATTTTTTCTTTAAGTTCTACATATATATGATTTCCTTCCTTTATTCCATTATTGCTGTATCACAACATTATTTCATTGTCTAGTTCCGATAAGTTCCTTCGTCTATACATTTCAAATATTGTCACAGATATCCTGATTTTCATATCAATTGTCATTATGAAGCAAATAATCAATTCTATTTAAAACAAAAGAAACTTAACTATTACAGTTTGTTCTTAGAATTTAAAGGTTTTTGTGACAAAAATAGTCTTTCTAATAAGGGTCGCTAGATCTAAATTTTGTTTCAAATATATTAAATTTTTAAGGTTTTTTCTAAATAAATAATCAGTTTTTGTGTACTATTTTATACACAAGAAGCATTTGTGTATAAAAGTAATCTTCATATAAATGTTTAATCAGCGTTACTTATCCAGAGATGAACAGTAGTCGTAACTAGTTTGATTTCTTCGTAGTTTCTATAATAATATTTTTCTTTGTCAACAAATATCTAACGGCCTTTGATTCTTTTATCTTGTATATTATTTTTCTCAGACCTTGTTATATAAATGTATAAATATTTTGTATGAGAAATTTACTTGTAATACAAGAAAATTATTCCATATAATAAATTGGATAGATTTTATTCCTTTGTTGAGTAATATTGGAGACTAGCTGTTATTTGCTTGGTCTGCGTAAAAAAAGAAAAATCAATGAAAAACCTTTTAAACGCCGCGTGCGTCCTGAATCCCACTCGCGCGTGTTCACACCTAATTTCGGCATCGGTATAAAAAGTAGCCTAAGTCACTCCTTATTACATCAGAATCGGTCTAGCCATTTCAGAGATTAGCCGGAACAAACAAAAATGTTACTTTGGTGTATGTACCGTATACAAATTCATATGCATTTAAAAAACGGTTATTTCAATAATACAAATAGACAATACAATTTTATTTATTTGTATAGATTAAAGAGAAAACAGTCGCTGTATTTTTTATGGACTTCTACACTTTGTGTTTTAGTAATTACTATGAATACAGTCCAGTTAACTTCATTAAACTTCAAGAGTTTTTTCTACTTTCTTTCATTTCACTCCTTAATTTATTAAGTTAGGACTTTTTGAATTCTTTAGCCTCAACTAATTACCTCATTTTGTTTTGGATCCAATAAGCATGAGTAAGTAACTTAGTTAAAAACACGAGGAATTAAACGAAATTCGATCGTATGAATTCTCGAAAAGTAAGTTGTATTAGTTACAATATTTATAACTCAAGAACGGCTGTACAGATATGGTTGAGCATTGGTGGAGAGATAGATTAGAACAAGGAGACTGACATAGGATATTTAAACATTCAGTCGAAAAAGAAAAAATAAGTTGATCAAATTAAAAAAAATTCTTAACTACTGTCTAATAAAGGAATAGAGTTCTTTGACTTTTTTTACTGGGCCCCAATAAGTGAGTATTTTTTGTAAGATAAAGGTCACTCTAAAGTGTTTTTGTTTCAGCATTACTGTCATCAGTGATAGCGGCGCCGGCGCCCCAACTGTGTGTCACCTGCCCTTCACCATGCGACCCTCCCTGCGCGCCGCCCTGTCCAGCCCCGGAACCGCCCTGTCCAGAACCAAATCCATGCAACCCTAATTGCCCACAAATCAGTAAGTAATTATATAATCTTTATATATAGCCCTAATACTTTAGCCAGTGTCGGCCTAGTGGATCCTGGCTCGGGCAAGTACCAATGTGATTTTTCCGAATCATATGTACTTTCTAAGAATATTTAGACATCACTGATTAATGCTGATTCCCAAAGAGGGTTGATGTCAGGCAGGTGGCCGGTCGTAAAAACAAGTAGCCAAAATTATTCACAACATGTAAGGCAGACCCTGGCTATACCTCAGAAATTGCTAGATAGAAGAAGAAGACTTACGAACTCTTATGCAACTTGTATTAAAATTCGTATAACGTTTAAAAATTCTTGATTTGTTTTAATTCCTATTTTACCAGATATCCATATATGTAAAGTAGCCGAAACGTCGGCAGTATCCATGTATATGAATATAAATGTCCATTCGTGTTTAACGATTGGCATGGCTCAGATTTAAGTTTACAATTATAATTAATGAAATTATAGAGAGACGATTTTGTTTCAGTTTCAAGCAATGACGCTGTAAAGGTGTTGGTCCCGAGAAGTAACACACCAGACGGTCTGCGTAACATCGGTTTCCAGCCTTATCCAGTTCCTGGCGGAGTTTTCTACGTCCTGAAGAACCCTGACGTGATCATTCAGCCACCATCCTTGGTCATCCGTCCACCTCTCCCAAGGCCGATCCAACCACCTTCCATAGAAGTCCAGCCACCACAGCAGGGTCCAATCACTCCGCCGCCAATTTGCGTCCGACCGTGCCCATTACCGCCAGTGAATGTTCCGCCAATCTGTGTGCGACCTCGGCCTCTGTGTCCAATCACCCCACCACCTATAATAGTGACACCACCCTGCCCACCACCTATCCAGCCACCATCCATCACCATTCGCCAACCAGCACCACCAAGTATAACACCACCACAGATCGTGGTCCGTCCCCCAAGTCCATCAGCCTTACAAGCTCCGAGCATTTCGATCCCGCTGTCAGTACTGCAACGGTCAGGAGGCGACGGCATCCTGTCATCGGGTGATGGCTACAACCAGATAAATTCTCTTCTGTCCTATCCAGGCAATCCATGCAATCCATGCAATCCATGCAATCCTTGCAATCCTTGCAATCCATGCAATCCATGCTACTGTGATTAAAGCTTACACAACAACAACATTCTTCTACGATCCCTCTACCAAGAAGATGATAAATCTTCTTGATGCTCATCTCTAAATATTATCAAGTATTTGTCATATTGTAGAACTTATTCACAATCCCATGTAAGCTTCACATAGATCTCTGAACTCTGCTGCGTCAAACGGAACAGATATTAAGTAACCCGTATGTGTTTGTTAGTTTTAAGTTTGCGAATGTGAGTCACAATAACTTTTTTATAAACATGTATTGAATTGAAATATACATTATATATAATTCTAATTTATTTTTATTTTATACGAAAAAATGTCCTGTATTGAAATTATATTTGGCAATTTTTTTATGATATGAAGTGGGTACGTTAACCTATACACGCCTGAAATAAGGTGTCCTGTAATAATTCACTTCTTTCTTAAAGATCTTCATATTATAGTTCTTTGGGAGGATCTCAGGGGATTTTATTTCGAACGCTTAAGTTTATCGAAAATCGTACTACGTACAAAAATTATTAAGCCAAAGTATGAGTTTGGACTCCTTGGCGATAGGAAGAAATGCTTTAATAAAAAGCGGCCATTGGCATAATGTCAAACAGTTCTTAAATATCCCATTAGATGTTAGAACTTTACTAAAACTTATTGATTCCATACTATCTGTACAAAATGAATTTTATTACACAACCTATAAGTGTTTTGTAATTGCTTTTAACTTGTAGATGATAGATTTTTCACTGTTAGTATACAGTCTAGTAATTATTAAAATTAAAGTATTACACTTTAGGTATTTAAAATAATAAACAGTGTATATATACATATATAAACTCCAGTCAGTTAATAATTACAAATAAATAAATACTCATAAAATATTGACTAAATGCTGAGAACATGAGCTAGTTGAATATCAAAAATTGAATTTTATTAAACTTAATTAGTAAATATAAATATTACATGAAAAATACTGCACATAAAAATATAAAATATTCCATATAAATATAATTATATATATTATTAATATTATATATAGGGAATTATTTCAAATATAAATAAGAACGTCGGGAGTATGTACTTTAAAATAATTAAAAAAACGCTTAGTACATCTGACTAATATTAGTTTCATTTAAATGAATACTCATTAAAGTCTTAGGTATTATTACATTTACATAATATTCATGTTTGTATGTTAAAAAAAACATGACCATAATAAGTGATATAGATATGAATTCACATAAATAATAAAAATCAATAATCAAATATCCTTATATAGTATAAAGGATTATTAAAAGTTATCTGAAGAAGTGAGAGTGATCAATTTACCGAGCACAAAGGATTCCAAAAACTAATTTCGTTTAAGAAGTGCGATAAGGTAGAAATGATTTAAACGGAATTCAGAGATCAGGCAAACGAAACGCTGACTCAGATTATTAAAAGACCTACTAATATTATAAATGCGAAAGTAACTCTGTCTGTCTGTTACGCTTTCACGCCTAAACCACTGAACTGATTTTAATGAAATTTGGTACAGACATAGAGTTGACCTTGAGAAAGAACATAGGATAGTTTTTATCACAGACTTTTGAAAGGTTCTCTTGGAAACACGATATAACCGAACTCCACGCGGGCGAAGCTGCGGGCGGAAAGCTAGTAAGATATAACGTTTAAAATAAAATACAACTACAAATATGTAAAAGAAATAATGACGTCGGGAGTATGTACATAGTTTAAATAGTAAAAAATAGTGTAGTAATGATAAAATATTAGTTTTATTTAAATTAATACTCAAGTTTTAGTTATCATTAAGAAATAATATTAAATATTATATGGAATTAATAGTTGTTTATATATAAAAATAGAAATAAACTGATATATAATCTGATTGATATCAAATTATCTTTTAAATTAAACGAAGGTCCGAAGAATGAATATTGACTACGATTGATGGAATGAGATAGGTTAAATGAAATCATTTTTAATATTACGAGATTTAGCAACGAATTTTTCGTAACTTAAACAAGAAAATAAAAAATGAGAAAAAGACGGGAATTAATAAATCTACGTATAGCCAAAGCGAGGCGACAATCACCTTAGTCATCAACTAGCTAGGGCGTTAAGGTCAATCCTTAAATTAATTCAGGGAATATCGGCACAAACTGCAGAATATCGAAATATTATTGATTTACGTATATATAAATAATATTTGTCTCAAAATTCTTCATGGTTAGTTGTGTAAATAGTTAAAAAATTATTATTCAATGTGACTCAGTTACTAATCTTAATAAATGTACATAAATATCTAAATTATATATAAGACGAAACCTCTCATCATTCAATGTATTCACGGTGCGTGTGTCGGGTCCATCGTTGTAGTGAGAGGAGCTTCAACAGTGACTGGGACTTGCGACCCAGGTGTAGGTTTAAGGGACCCTATCTAACGTTAAACGATCACCTCCACCGTACAAGCTCCTCTCTCTACCAAATTTGAAACGAACCTACTATAGCTGCCTTTGAAGTACGTTATAAAAATAAATTGATAGTATTATTCAATAATATGTGTAACAGAATTTTCGCAAAATAATATTAGAAATTCATGTGATTAAGAGTATATTATTATAATAGTACATATATTTTTATTCTCAGTCAACCTAGTTAACTCTCAGTATTTTCTCCTTTGTCCTCTGTCCTTTGATAAAGAGCGTATCTTTAATGGCGTTATGTAGTTTTTTGTACAAATATTGTTTTATTCTCCTTACTTATTGTGTAAAATATTCTGGCTTCTTTATTTTAACGGCGTCAAACGAGCAGACGGCCTACCTGAGGCAAGTAGTCACCATAACCAATGGACATTTGCTACATAAGGGATGTTGTAGATGCGTTGCCAATCTTGATTGTAGAAAAATGAGAGGAATTGGTAGGAAAAAGGAATATATGGGAAAGGAAAGGCAAGTCTATACCTAGTTGTTGTCGATAATATTAGAACATTTTAATGTTTTGTATAACTTCTTGTAAAGGGTACGAAAGGAAATATTGCTTTTATGAAAATGTATTTAGTATCACGATAATGAGGAGCACTATTTAACTTTATACAGATTATTACATAGACTCAAGAGCTATTAATTTTTCTACGCATTTACAAACTCGATATGTTTTGGCCTGTTTTATTAAATATGTGGTCGATTTTTTGGATATTTACTCATAAATACAACATTTATATAATATCAAAATAAAATATTATATAACTACCATAATAATACAAAACTCTGTCTATAGACAAAAATGAATTCACATATCGCCTCAAGCATTGTAAGCTAACCACTGAAGAAGATTTTGTTACACGGTGTGTATTGTATATTAAAATTACCAATTTTTGTATATGTGTACATATCGTCATCATCCTATTAGAAGCCAACTGCTTCTTCGTCTCAAGGCCTCTTTCTCACACAGAGAAGGTTTGAGCATAAATCACCACGCTTGCTCAAGACGGGTTGGTGATTTCAAACTTATAATTGTGAAACTATAAGTCCAGGTTTCCTCACGATATTTTCCTTCACCGTATATCAGTGGTGTCTAAATAACCTCAGAAAGTGCATATGACTCCGAAAAATCACATTGGTACTTGCCAGGTTTGAACCCGCGCCCTCGGCAACGAGAAGCGGACTAGGCCACCACTGACTGTACGTACATGTACATATAAATTAAGTAATTAAACAATTTTTAAGGCAAAATTAACGTGCAAACATAAAATTTACTGAACAATAGATGACGTTGTTGAGTCAGCACATAATATTCCTCAATATTATATAAAAAGACATAAGTACTATAGTAAGGCTGGTTATTAGATATAAATCTTTTAAAAGCTAGGTTAAAATTATAATAAAGATTATTCAGAATTAACATCTCATCCTAAAAGACAATTCTTGGACTGTATCTTTTGGTGTTTTTATTTATTGGCAGAAGACTTTAGTTTAAATTAATTATATTTATAACTACTATTGGCTAAAGCTGGATTTATAACTGAAGTTAAAGAAGTAATGTATGTAATATTACGAATAAATGTTTAACTTATAAATTAAATGAACATCGCCGGGGCGACATCGTTGTATGTATAATATATATCTCTTGAGGCCTCTGACTCCGCGGAACGAACACCAAGCGTGTGAACCAGAAGATTCCTGATACACACAAGCTATGGAATGGTATTGATATACTAACATCGGGTCAATCATGTAGTCTTAGGTGTAGGTTATGAGTTTTAATATGTAATTCTTATTATAATATACATATAAGTAAGTTTCGTAGTTTTCTTGGAACCTCCGGTCGCCACCCTATAATATACATTTTCTTATAATAAATTATTATTATTAGCGTATGTTTGCTTTGTATCAATTATTTGGCTTACATTGAGTTAAGAATGTATTTTCAATGATACAGAAATGTATTTATTAAAATATTACATTTTTATTATATAGGAAATATTTTTCTTAAGGTTATATATAATTTGTTCACAGACGGTGAATGAAAACATCGTGAGGAAACCTGGACTTATAATTTCACAATTATAAGTTTGAAATCACCAACCCGTCTTGAGCAAGCGTGGTGATTAATGCTCTAACCTTCTCCATGTGAGAAGAGGCTCAGCAGTGGGCTCTGATAGGATGATGACGTATATACATATATTTATTGCGTATTACTGAGTTATTATAAAAATATCAATGATTTTTTTTATTAACTGACTTCAAAAGACATGCTTAGATGTTAAGAAATCTTATATGTTAAGTTAGGTATGAAGTAAGATTAATGGAAACTAAATAAAGTTAGTTTTCGTTTATGTAAAGTAGGTGTTTAGTCGAATTTAATATTAGATAGGTAAGGTTAGGAAAAAAAAAAAATTTTACTTTTTAGTTCCTATGTATCCTTTTATAATAAATCTTTTAAAGATTCTGTTTTATACATAAAGTTGCATTCAAGTTGACACTGAGCTCAAAACACATAGAAAATAGACAGCGGTGTCTTTAATAAAACTATAACACTTAGAATATGTTGGTTTTTAATATTTAAATTGAAATAATATATTGATATAAGTTCAGAGTATGTTTTAACTCAATAGTTCTAAATGAAACAAAATGATTCGTATAGTACGCGATTATTTTGTTGTTATATTTCTACACTAGCTTTCCGCCCGCGTGGAGTTCGGTATATCTCGTTTCCAAGAGAACCTTTCAAAAGTCTGGGATAAAAACTATCTTATGTTCTTTCTCAAGGTCAACTCTATGTCTGTACCAAATTTCATTATATTCAGTTCAGTGGTTTAAGCGTGAAAGCGTAACAGACAGACGGACAGAGTTACTTTCGCATTTATAATATTAGTAGGGATGTTCATATATTTATTAATTTTCAGCGACTGTGATCACGGCAGTTGTTGACGTCATATTGTTTAAAAACTGTCCATAAGTAATAGTAAAACTTTTCAAAAACCAAGCATATGTAAAATCAAATAGCTCGTAACTATATATGTATTGTCATTCAATAAGTTTATACAATTCAAATATACTACATACTGTAATCTATACTAATATTATAAAGCTGAAGAGTTTGTTTGTTTGTTTGAAAGCGCTAATCTCCGAAACTACTGGTTCGAATTGAATAATTCTTTTTGTGTTGGATAGTCCAGTTATCGAGGAAGTCTGTGGGCTATATAACATCACGCTACGACCAGTAGGAGCAAAGATATAGTGGTAAATGTGTAAAAAACGGGAGAAATTATTTCATCTTTGAAGCCTTCCGTTGCGTGCGCCGTGAAAACGGTTCAAGATACACAAAAAATATGTATTAAAGAATAATAGCTCTTTTAATGATCTAAAAAACAGTCCGCGACAGTATATGTGTTTTTATGGTACCTAATTTTGTCGAAATAATTTGTTTAAGTTGTATCAACATAATAATATTAATCTTTATTCAAATAAACAAATAAATATGTTGTTGGTTAAGAGTACTTTATTGTGAATTTAAAAAAAAACATAGGTCTTATCCTGAAAATTCTACGGGAACTCCACCATTTCGAAAACCCCGCAAGAACGGGAACTGTGTGGGAAGAACCAAAAATCTGCCGGAAGTCACTATTCCACGCGGACGAAGCCGCGGAAAAAGCTAGTATTTTATATACACGAGACTGTTAATTCAGGGTTTTTAATTAAATATTTTCATCATTTTGTTAGATTAGACAATCATTAAGTGTTCACCTTTCTACCTCATACACATTGCTTGTATTCTTTCTTTTCAATTTCGTTAACCTACATATCTCATTGTTACCAAATTGGAGTTTAAACTACAAGGCTCCTGAAAGATGAAGGAATTTTATGTCTCAATTATATCCTATTCTTGCTTAAAACAAACCATACTTATTACTTCTCTTTAAAAGTTACTTCTCTAGTGCTGTTTATTTATTAACAAAACACAAATGATTTACATAAACAACTTGTTTTATCAGTATTAAAATATCTTCAAACAAGGAAATAAGTTTAAAAATTCAATATTATATTTTATCGTGTTAAAAGTCAAAAGAATATAAAGTATAAAGTGTTTTTAAAAGTTCATACAAGCGTTAACGTATTTGTCAAAACCATGTCTTGTTTAAAATTCTATTGGAAATATATAAAAAATATTATTTGGACGCCAAGTCGGGCGTGTCATAACATTTTATATATTGCATTATGAGTTCTATGTTGAAGACTATAAGGATGAATATTCACCCTCACCGATTCACCCTCGAGGTAGGAGTTAGGAATCATTCAGGTATATAAATGATTTATAGCTTCAGATGTTATCAGTCAACTGGAAGATGTTGGGCGCAGTGATTTGGGCTACAGGTATATGAACGATTATTAAATAACATTATATATACATATATATGTTGGTTGGGTTAGATATTAGGTAGCCTAGAGGTTAAACCCGCCTCTCATGCATGAGGGCCTGGGTTTAAAACCTGGCAAGTACCAATGTGATTGTTCAGACATATGTACTTTATAAGAGTATTTAGATATCAATGAGATGAAGGAAAACATCGTGAGGAAACCTGGACTTATATCAAATTATAAGTTTGAAATCACCAACCCCTCTTAAGCATGCTTGGTGATTAACCCAAACCTCAAGAGGCCTCAGCAGTGGGCTCTGATAGGCCGATGACGATGACAATATATGTTCTTCGACTAATCCTTAAACTTGTCATGTATGTTTCAGTCCTACTCAGCATTACACACGGACAGCCAGTTCCTGATCCACAATTCATTTCGCCATGTCCATGTCCATGCCCATGCCCATGTCCTGAGCCATGCCCGCCGCCGTGTCCCGAACCTTGCCCCGAACCGTGTCCCGAGCCGTGTCCCGAACCTTGTCCCGAGCCGTGTCCCGAACCATGCCCTCAGCCCTGCCCGGATCCTTGCCCCTGTCCCTGCCCTGACCCGTGTCCCTGTCCCTGCCCGGACCCGTGTCCCGGACCCTGTTCCGGTGACGTCCAACAACTCAGCCTGTGCAACCCCGGCGAGCCAGACGTTCGTTATGCATATGGTCAAGCCCCGCAAGGTAATACTTTGTGATATATACAGTTATAAACTACTACCATTTAAGAACGTCAACTATTAGCCCATTCGATCAAGAAATTTGTAACTGAAGGAGTAAGAAATATGAAGAAATGTATAAATAAAAACATCCAGGGTTAGAGCTGCCTATATTATTATTTTGGTAGAATATTAAGCTTTGGTTTAATATAACGAACTGTGCCTTTTTTCCAGGTTCTATCATTGTCAGGCCAGAACAAATAAACTTTCCCAATCCTAGGCCAATAATAGGCTTTGGCATAATATAACGAACTGTACCTTTTTTCCAGGTTCTATCATTGTCAAGCCAGGACAAATAAACTTTCCGAATCCTAGGCCAATAATAGGCTTTGGCATAATATAACGAACTGTACCTTTTTTCCAGGTACTATTATTGTCAGGCCAGGACAAATAAACTTCCCGAATCCTAGGCCAATAATAGTCAAGCCGGGAACAATCAAACTACCAAATCCACCTCTGATATGGGTCAAACCGGCACCAATTCAACCACCACGGTTGCGGCCTATCAGGGTTCAACCACGGCCGGTACAACCTCCGACCCCACCACCGATACTCGTCCGTCCTGATCCGGTGCAGCCACCACAACCACGACCTATTATTGTCAGACCAGCGCCCGTTACACCACCACGTCCAAGGAAAATTAAGGTTTGATATCCATATAACAAGTCTTTCTCTGATTTACCATAGGCTATGAATCTTTCATGAATCATGGGGAAGTACTACAATATTCTATTATAACAATTGAAAGAAATCCCTACTAGTATTATAAATGCGAAAGTAACTGTCTGTCTGTCTGTTACGCTTTCACGCCTAAACCACTGAACTGATTTTAATGAAATTTGGCACAGAGATAGAGTTGACCTTGAGAAAGAACAAAGGATAGTTTTTATCCCAGACTTTTGAAAGGTTCTCTTGGAAACGCGATATAAACGAACTCCACGCGGGCGAAGCTGCGGGTGGAAAGCTAGTACATATATATAAACGAAAGTCGTGTTAGTTACACTATTCATAACTCAAGAACGACTGTATGGATATGGTTGAACATTGGTGGAGAGATAGATTAGAACAAGGAGACAGACATAGGGTATTTAATTCTGATCAATTGATAAGAAAATATAATAAATTCCAAGATCTAGTTATTTGTAGCCTCTATACGTATATTACTAATTCTGAAATTATCGCGGACTAAGTCACGGGCAAAAACATGTACATATATTATATAGCTGACATGGCCCTCGTTTTTTTCGTAAATCAATCAAATATTTCTGACATGTTCATTCTTCATTAATTCATTTTGTTTTTATCCAGGTAACACCACAAAGGGTACAGCCTCCTATGCCAGATATGCTCATCGTGACTCCACCACGTATACTGGTGCCACAAGCTCCAACAATATGCTTCAGACCAAATCCTATAACCTGCTTCAAAACTTGTGGTCCAGCCCGTATCGGTATCTACAGGCCAAATCCTTGTAATCCTTGTAATCCTTGTAATCCATGCGCCCCATGCGACCCATGCAACTCATGTTACTAACTCGAAACATCGGAAACATATAGATATGTATTCTATTATATATTTTAAAGTGTTGTGACTGCATTCGTAGATGTTTAAGCTAATTAATAAATACGGGTTATTTGCATCATGTGTTGTTTGATTTGAAAAAGCAAATAAACCTAAAAAAATTAAACATTGAAACTTTTATCAATATTCCAAAAATAAAATAAGTCTTTGGTGGCAATGTGAATAAAACTGATCATATATATAAATATAATTTATTTGAATCGAAAACATACATACAGTTTATAAATTTCTCAAATACATTTAATTATTTTTTTTGTCTCCAAACGCATATAGTCATTTTATTTAATTTAAGTATAGATTGATGCTTAAGAACTTAAAATTTACTTTGTTAATAGAGATACATAAAATTAATTAAGAGTTACTTAAAAAATGAGATTAAAACATTGAGATACTTTGAAATATAACTTTATAATAACAAGTGCGTTTGAAGGATTTTTTACTTTGCTATTGATTATAAACAGATATCGGATTTTCACAAAACTCCAACTGGGGCCAGAGCTCCAAGTGGTAATCCATTTAGAAGCAATGGATTTATAGGTAATCTTCCGTATGGCAGACCGAGTCCAAGACCGGGTAGACCGAGGCCCAACCTTGGAATACTCAATGGATATCCAACACCTACATTTGGACCCGACTCACAAAGCGTTGTCTGCCCAGCTACGTTAGGTAAATAGGGCAACCCATACCCTAGACCAAGGCCTATATTTGGCGTGCTTTCAATGACAGTAGCTGTGGCAGGTTTTAGTGGTGGCACGCCACCTAATCCTCCTAAACCACCTAAACCACCTAAACCACCCAAACCGCCTAAACCATTTAATCCGTTTAAACCAGTCAAGCCACCTAAACCACCTAAGCCGCCTAAACCACCTAATCCAAGGCCACCTACTCCCAATCCTTGATTAGAACTCTCACATACTGTAGTAGAACCACCTCCAGGATTTATCGGAACAGGTGCCATGTTAGGAACAGAGTCACATACAGTAGTACTTGCGAGTGCGCTCAGATAGGGTGGTAGGTAAGGCACCGGAAGATTCAGCCCCAACCCATAACCGAGTCCAAGTAAATTAGGAGTGGAGTCACAGACGGTGGTCGCTACGTTCGGCAGTCCTTGTAAGAATCCTGGCAGAAGATTCTGTGAGTCGCACACCGTCGTTTGACCCAGAGGATTACAGATACCGCCGCAAACTAGAGCTAAAATTAAAATAAACAGAATTTAGACTTGCTAAGCTAGTGTTTTAATTTCATAAAATGTAAAAAGATACGAATAGAAATTATATCTAATAACTCATAACCTTAAATAAAAGTAGCATTTAGCACAATAATATGCTGTTCTTTAACGTCTACTCCAAATAGGCGACACATATATGGATAGATTTTAATATGTAGTTCATCTACTCATTTAATTAGATATATACATTGGTTATGTTACATATGTAGGTAAACAAAAATTTTGGAATTGGTCTGAGGAAAAGAAATTCTAGTATTATTTAAAAAATCTATTATTTATATATGGCAAATGTTTCAGCATTAATTTACTATTTTCACTATACAAACATTTAACAATTTATAATTGTAGAAAGCAATAACTATTGGATGGCTTTTTCTTGAGTTGAGACAAAGAGAACATGTCCTCGAACATGGATATTGGCAAAATACTTGGAACCAGGTCCGAACTATGTAGCAAATATTTCTAAGGAAAATCATTAAAAGAACAATCACGTAACCTCTCACAATGAGTTATTAACTCAGGATAAACTACTTATTAATAATTCAGTGGTGGCCTAGTGGCTAAACGACCCGCCTCTCATGCATGAGGGCGCGGGTTCGATCCTGGCCCGGGCAAGTATCAATGTGATTTTTCCGAGTCATATGTACTTTCTTAAAGTATTTAGACATCACTGATTAATGTTGATTCCCAAAGAGGGTTGATGTCAGGCAGGTGGCCGTTCGTAAAAACAAATAGCCAAAACTTATTCATAACATGTTAGGCAGACCCTGGCTATAGCTGGGAAATTGCCAGGTAGAAGAAGAAGTAATTACATATTAATAATGAAATAGACTAAGATAATTATAATAATCTTACGTTATTTTGGCATATATTCATTTTTGTAAGGTCAAATACGAAATTCATTTGGTGTATTTCTTTAAAACTCTCAAAGTTTGCCAGTGCCATGGTATAAATGTCATAGTGCCTTTGAATGCCATAATATGTCAAATAACAGATAATTAGGCATGCTTATACATGTTATGAAATTAACAAACTCATGTAGTTTAAGATGAAGTGTTGGCTTTAGAAGATAACGATGGAATGAGTATAGAAATTGGATTTACTTCTTGGAGTCTATTACAAGGAGAGAGCAGTCATTTGGAATGGTTGGTATCACAATTTTTGGTTCAGACTCTTGAGTACTGAAAGACTCCTGCCTAACATACATATATGGTTAATTTCATAGTTTAACAAATACTCTTAATTCTAGAAAACTCGGGTCAATTGTGTCATTATTTTTGATTGTGGTTTTAGCAATGTTATTCAGGGTTACGAAACCAGAGTTTAAATGAACGAAAATAATAAAAATTAATAACATAGTTACAGTTTGACCGATCTCATGTGCTCATAATTTTACAAACTGTATGGAATAGTTTTTTTTTATTTTTCTCGTGATGGTTACAACCAATTCTGTCACCACGTTTCGGTTTGAGTTCTGGGACACCCTGTATACAACATAATATATTACTTACCAACAAGGAAGACACATTTCTTGATAGCCATCGTGTACCTTCCGCCGTTCTGTAATTTCCATTCTTTTTTCTCACCTTATATACACACTTTGTTTTGGTCGTACGGTTCACGGCAAATGATGTAAAATATGTTATAAAATTTAATTAAAAAATGTTTTAAGTTTTCAATTGTCATGTTTAGAATTACGTCGCGATAGATAAGAGGTAAGTTTACACAAAATGTGTACATAGTGTTATGTATTAAGAGAATTTATTGTGTACTTACGCTAAGTATATGACTACGTACCTGAAACAAATAATTTTATGGATGAGTTTTATAAATATCTTTTAGAAATCTACTTAAAGAAAGAATATTACAAAAAGGTTGGTAGATAAAAATGAATTTTAATATAATTTGAATACAAGCTAAATAATTCCTTATTAATTTGGCTAAAATATTTAAAATGTCATCATACTGTTTCTAATATTGTGGAAAGGTTTTCATACCTAACTCTGCTCGTAAGCTATTTATAATGTCATGTCAATATTCTATAAAATAAACAATAACTAAAAAGTATTCAATTTTATAAATTTTTCGATACTTTAAATATTATTCAAATACTTATTGAGAATCTGAGACATACTAGTTTTTGTCCGCGACTTCGTACGCGTTAATTTCTTCATTCGTAATTGTATATGTATGTCAGACCGGCGAACTACTCGTATATTCCGACCTAGAGGCCGTAAGTAACCAGATATTAAAATTTAATATTATTTTCTTTTTTGACCGAATAGTATTGAATATGCTATGTCCGTCTCCTTGTTCTAATCTATCTCTCCACCAATGTTCATCCATATCCGTACAGTCGGTCTTGAGTTATAAAAAGTGGAACTAACACGACTTTCTTCTATATATGTATATATATATAGATATAGAATATATACTCGTAGATATAGAAACGTTATTTTATCATTATTTTAAACGATTACTTATTAACGTTTTAAGGTCAAACGGTTCCTTCTATTAATACTTTTAAAGTAAGTGGAATTAGTAATTCGAAGGTATTGTGTTATGTACTCTCATATAAGTGTACAGGCAAATATAATATTATAATATAAAAGCCACGATAATGAATACTCAAAGATATTCCAGACTAGTCTAAGTCTAGACCTACAGACTACAACATTAATATGAAATATGACTTTATCCTTCACAGAGAAGAAATGTATTAAACACATAAGAAAGTTACAAAAATATATGTATAATTATTTTTTGTCTCCAAATTTTCTTTATATTTATTTTATTTCTGACAAAATCCATAGTACATAAAAGGTACAAAACCATCAAAATACATATAGCTTCTCAGTTTTTTAAATATTTTTTCATTATCTTTAAAATATGTAATATTACTAGCTTTCCCGCAGCTTCGCCCGCGTGGAGTTCGTTTATATCGTGTTTCCAAGAGAACCTTTCAAAAGTCTGGGATAAAAACTATTCTATGTTCATTCTCAAAGTCAACTCTATTTCTGTACCAAATTTCAGTAAAATCAGTTCAGTGGTTTAGACGTGAAAGCGTAACAGACGGACATACAGACAGAGTTACTTTCGCATTTATAATATTAGTAGGGATGAAAATTAAATAAATTATTGCTTAGTCTCGACACCAAAATAAGGGAAAGTTTGACGTGGATGTCTATGTGTGTCTGTTTGCGGCGTCATAGCTCTAAAAAGATTTGCTTTTTTCTTTTCTATGTTTGATTAATACGTATCATAGATAGCAGTTCTTGAAACAATATTTTCAAGTACATCGAGAGATGAGAAAAGATATTAGGTAAAGATTATCATCACCCTATCAGAGCCCACAGCTGAGCCTCTTCACATGGAGAAGGTTGGAGCATTAATCACCACGCTTGAAAGATACATTGAATACATAAATAAACTGAAAGGTAAAGATAATTTAGTCTTAATAAAATGTTTAAAATATTTGATTTATCGTTGTATTTTAATACAATGAATAAACAACCAATTTTACAGACAACTGTACAATATAACATGTCAACATTGGATTAATATAATGAAACTTGGTTTCTGATGTTTTTGGTACAATGTATTGTTTATAATTATAATAGAAGATATGTAATTTCATATATTTTTGATAATTTTCGTCAAATAGGTTTAATTAATTGAATAATACAAATCATTTTATCTGAACAGTAATCAAACATTGAATAGGCAGACTCTGGCTAAAGCTAGGCAATTACCAGGAAGAAGGAAGTAATAAAGCATTAAAGTTATACAAAAAATTTGTAAAGTAATTCAAAAATCTATATAATAAATATAAAAGAAAGTCATGTTAGTTACACTATTTATAACTCAAGAACGACTGTACGGATATGGATGAAGATTAGTGGAGAGATAGATTAGAACAAGGAGACGGACATAGGATATTTTACATACATTGAAAAGGAAAAAACTAAGTTGATCAAATCCAAAATCTTCTTATCTACTGTCTTTAATGAGGCACAGAGTTCATGACAGATATACATTTATAATTCTGAAGCTAACGCAGATGAAGCCGCGAGCAAAAACTAGTGTTATACAAAAATATAATTGATAAATATTAATAACATATTTCCTATAATTTAATCTTAATTTTATCATTAATCGGTAGTCGAGCGTGAATGTTTATTCTGGCTCGTGTCAACTAAATTGTGTTTTATGAAGTCCACGTACGGTTCATTTTACAATAAAACATATTTTTGATTCGTGAACTATTGAAAAACCGCTAAACTAATTCAATAACTTTGAAGTCACACGAGGAGAAACTGTCTTACAGTACAATGAAGTTAATATATTTTATAATTATGTGTAAGTATATATATAATTTATATGTAAAAATTACATATCATCATCGTCATTCTATCAGAGCCCGCTGCTAAGCAAAGGCCTCTTTCTCACATGGAGAAGGTTAGAGCATTAATCACCATACACGCTCAACACGGGTTGGTGATTTAAAACTTATAATTTGATAAGTCCAAGTTTCCTCACAATGTTTTCCTTTATCATCTGTCCTAATTGAGAAATACATATGTAATATATGTATGTATAAGGAGTGATATTCATATATTTTTATTATGTATAACAAACATTTTCATATGAAATGATCTTATATAACTATGAAAATACGTATCAGTTAAAATCATAAAGATAACTTAACACAAGTCTTCATAAAAACGGTTCATTAATTACAGTCAATTTTTTTATATGAAAAGTATCTTTTCTTAAAAGGCATCAAAGTATTTTAAAGAAGACTTTTATCAAAACAAAGGTAAAGATTGATATTGCTTTTGGTTCCATCTAGACCACCACACAAAGACATTTTATCTAGGATCCTGGTTTTGGTCCACTGTATTAATTAAAATACATAAAATAAGGTTTTAGACATTCTGAGGTTTTGTTGTAGAAATGACTAAAGAGATTTAAAGACTTGTTTGTTTAACCTTCCTTAAGCCTTGTTTTTCCCCGAAAACTCTCTGACGTATATTCTATGCACATCTGAATGTAATGAGTATACATATTAATTCTTTTCAAATAAAAGACAAACACTTATTTCTTTAAAAATCAAAATCTGTTCTTAATATACAATTGTAAATTTTGATTTCTTTGAACGAAAAACATTGTAAAATATCTTATAATATTCTAATGAAGTGAGAACGTAAGGAGAAACGAATTACATTAATTCTATTATTTCAATGGATTAAAATACAATTTTAAAAATCTGCCACTCGTTTATTTTTAGTCAGATGTTTGTGTATCAGGTTATTGACAGATACAATGAAACTTCCTCCGGTTTTGACAGAAAAAGAATTACCCTTCATAGTGTTCCGACCTAAATAAAAGCCGTAAGGGAAAGACTTCGAGGAAATTCTATCAGAAAACAAAATATTTTATATCGTGAGATAAAGATGGCATCTGGAACCATGTCATGTAATAAAAAAGTGGCCTAGTTCTTACTTGACTGATAATTTAAAAAGAATAAGTAAATGAAAACTATTTAAGCATTATATGAAAGAAAGTCTACGAAAAAATTCATTTACAAATGAGAAATAACTTACAATTAATCACGGTTTTAACAAACAAAATGATTTATTTATACTGGAATGTCTAAATAAGCTTTATTTATTACTGTACAGACTACAACGTGGACATTAGAAAAAATTGAGTGATGATTTAATGGGATGACTGGACTATATTTTTGTGAAGATTATCACAATGAAAACACAGATTTATCGAAGTAACCTTATTCTTTTGATCGTTAAGCTATTTAACAACTTGTTTTTCTTCTTCCTGGCAATTTCCCAGCTTTAGCCAGGGTCTGCCTTCCTACTTAAACTCCTCCACGGTCTCTGGCATCCTCAGTAGTTAGTCTGTTGGCTCTCATATCTTATACAACATTATGTTTAATAACAAAACGGTCTTCAAGACATCATGATAGTTTCACTCACCTTCATTCAATCTAAATCTCAATCTAACTGCATTAAAGTTTATGTTCTGTGTTTGAGAGCTAATCGTGGTGGCCTAGAGGTTAAAGGTCCGCCTCTCGTGTATGAGGGTGCGGGTTCAAAACCTGGCAAGTACCAATGTGATGTTCCGAGTCATATGTACTTTATAAGAGTATTTAGACATCACTGACCGATGAAGGAAAACATCGTGAGGAAACATGGACTTATATCATATTATAAGTTTGTAATCACCAATCCATCTTGAGCAAGCGTGTTGATTAATGCTCAAACCTTCTCCATGTGAGAAGAGACCTTTGCTCAGCAGTGGGCTCTGATAGGCTGATGACGATGATATTAAAAAACACAGTTTGCTCTAAACACAATACTGGCTTAGTCCCTAAAATCTATAGGAAAGACGTTGAGGAATTTTCACATACAAAATAGTGATGCTCTTGATGACTGGCCTCAACATTTAAAAGGCTCTATTGCAACCAATGGAGATAAATAGAATAAGTTTTATATATTTTAATATATGTAACTAACACACTG